TTGTAAGGAGGAGTTCTCTCTTGTTCACTCATGGGAGTTTAAGGATAATATCCACAACCCTCAAGAAACTGCAGACTTGCACTAATAATTAACAGTCAAACTTCAGGAAAACAGTATTGGAAGAAGCCAGGTAAAAAAATAACAATAAAAGTTGGTCAAGAATCATTCCAGCCTATATTTAGCCCTGAAAGCCATTCATCCATGGAGTGATACAAATATTATTTCACTTACCACTCCATATCGGTTGGTTCCACTGATCACCATCCACTTGTTATCGGAATCAATCCAGTACACCACTGAGTCATGAGGGTCTTCCCACTTCAGTACACATGATGAAGCACTGATGAAACAGCAGAAACATATAAAGCACAATGCGAAATGGCTCATGCAAGACTTTTCATAGTTTCTCTTAGGCACCTCGACATGCACTATTTGATGATGGACTCTTTCTTGTTGGGTAACATTTGAATCAGGATTGCACCATTAAAAAAAAGTTGCAAAGGAAAGAGGCCTCTGATGTCACAGAGAGTGTGAATATAATCGAAAGAAACTATGGTAATGAGCTAGTTAAGCAAAGGCAACCATATATTAGGGTTGTATGTCAAGCCTGTCAACTTAACAAATGCCACTGACACAGCAAAAGCTGCAATTGGAAAACTAAAAATGGCAAAACCACTGGGGGTGGCCCTTAAAAGTATGGGCCACTTACTGATCCGATATTACAGGGAATCAAGGGGAATAATTATTGCAACAGTTTAGGCAGCCATTAATGTGGGGAGGGCACATTGTGTGAGAGGGCATTGCAAAAGGTGAAAATGAGACAAGACTCCACAGGCTTAAAAAAGAAGGATGGATCTACTTCTCTATATGTCAGAAAATTAAGGCATGAAAAGAATGATAAGTACAACCTGTGGTTATGAAGTCTGGTATCCCACAGTCTAACAGTTGTATCATATCCACAGGACAGTAATGTGAAGGGAGTTTCCCACTTGATTCCACGAACCCCTGCTCCTGCTTGAGTTGATCCTGTCACCAGATTCATAATGCACCTTCCACTGCAGAAATGTTTAAGTCTTCATGTCAAACAAGACAGCCCACCTTCAGTCAAAGCTCTGAGCCCTTCGAACATTAGTGCAAATATTTGAAGCTCCAAGGTTTGACTAATTGAAATGAATTAAAGTTCATTTTCTGTGAGTCTTCATATTTATTTGATAAAGTGTCTGTCATGTTTCTTCTCTGAGAGGTCACATACAATCCTTAATGTGATAACTGAACAAGTCAGACATTTTAATATGCCTATTTTTTGATGGCCTTAACCAGAATCCAGTGTAGTTTAGGGCATGATAGAAGTACATGCTAAAGATGCTAAATTACAATATATTGCTTTTTTTCTTGTCTGGAACATTGGCCTTTAAGCATGATTACAGATTTTACTTATTTACACAACATTTCCATCTTCATACTTTTGAAATTTTTATCCTCAAATATAATTCACAAGACTGCAATTTTAATGAGAAGTGAGGCTTGGGTATTAAATCTGTGAGACTCTCTTGACTCCCAATTGGTGTTTAACATGTAACTTCTCCTTATAATACCAACTTCTCTTTTCAACAAACAGGTTATGAGAATACTCAAACTTGTCAGGTTGGAGTTGTTATCTTGATCAGACACCAAATTCTTGCAAATGATTTATAAGGAAACATGTACCGAATGGAGGGAAGAATTGATAACCAAAACTTGGAAGTTAAACGGTTAAAGAAAAAGAGGCCCTGAATGGGTTTTAGGATGAGGAATTCAAAAATAACTCTTAACAATTTCCATCAAAATAATGGTAAGAGTCAGCTAACCTGTTGATATCCCACAGCTGTAAAGGTGCATTGCCTTTGGTATGACCACTGTTTCCACTAGCTAAACATCTAAAAAACCAAGTTGAGCATCAACATTATTCCAGAATTGGTGTGCTTTGAATAAGTATTGCTTAACTTTGACTGAGTTAGAAAATGTAACAAGCCAAGTTTTACAGAACTGAGTGATCAGCTGTTTTCCACTATGCTATAATAAGCTGAATGTGACTCAGTCAAAATATGTTCTTCAAGGAAATTACAACTTTTAAGTAACACTGCTTGCAGTAGTACATCTACATTATTTTGTACATTCTTCCTGCAAAAACCTTCTCAGCAGAAATCTCTCTTACATGTAAATAAGTCAACTTCAAGTTCAATACCCCATCAACCTGTCTAGTGGTTTTCACCACTATATGCATATGTTCATGTAAATGAGATCACAGATGTAATTGCATTTAGATGTTGTAGATAGGCTAGTGTAGTGGAAAACTATCACAAATGACAAATGAGGACTGACACTATATTAAATCCTCAAAGAACCAATTCATAACTAATTAAGATTTATCTCAAAGTTTTAGGGAGTCATTAAGGAGATTTGGAGCTTCACCTTGTATCTTAAAGGTTCTGATGATGATCCAGGATTATCAAATAAGTTCTATGCAATATTATAATTTACTGTAAAAAGAAAACCATTTATTATCAAATACATCCCCTCACCAAAGCAAAAAACTTATCAACTGGGCTAAGGTGGCTCAGTTCTTGTCTAAATTACTTGACACACAATATGAGTTTGATATATTTCAATTAAAAAAAAGGAACTCTTTTAAAAATGTTAACAGTGTTGGAAAATGGGGGCTGACCTCGCTGGGACTTCGAGTCCGTACATTAGTCCCTCATTTAGTACCTTTTTTTTATTCTTTTTATCATTATTCTTCGTCACTAAATGGAAGTTACTATAAATAAATAAATACCTGGTGCTTGGATTAAGGGAAACTGACCAAACATTATCCTGAATATCAATGGTGTGGACACAAGATTGGGTTTGCTGACACCATACCTAAATGGGTCAAGAAGGCTTCTCTTATTTAATAATTTATAAAAACATGCCTGGCTGCTTGATATTGTACTTATATTGTAAAGAGAAATTGGTCACTTGGGGCATTCAAAGGGTTAACAACTGAGTTACATCCACCT